ATGAACCATTAGTGTATGTTAAGTGTAGAAAAAGGTGCCTAAATGTGCTAAATAAATCTTGTAAGAAAGGATTTGCAATGGATATAGAAATTGGGTGAAGAAAAGTCGGTACACTTTTCTACTCCTGACCAGTTGTCGTAGAATCGTTATAACTTTTGATCCAACCGTTGGATTGAACTGAAATTTTGACACAATACAGAAGACATCTAGATCTACAATTTTTGTGTTTTAAACTTTTCCAGATTCTGAGTGGATATGGTAAAAATGGAGAAAAACAAGGTACTTCCACCAGAGGGAGCTAGTGCTGGTACCTTTGTTACTAAACACCAATACCTCTTTGATGTCTTAACTTCTAAGCCTCCAAATCCTCATGTAATGTGGTCATACCTTCACCACACATCCAAAATAATTGCAAGGTTCTAAAATACTTGATTTATGCTATAAATACTTGCAACATCCAAATATCAACATTATTCATAATTTCGGCTCACTCTAAGTACTTACATGCAAAAGTTGAGTTAAAATGCATGTAATGAAGCCTTCAAATATACAACATTTTGCACTCATCACTATGTGTTCTTTGGTTTTTGATATATATCGAGGTGTGATAGACCTCGATTGGATTAAATGATTAAAGGATCACGGGTTACACGTGAGTTAAAATCCCAAACAAAAGAGATATTATTGACGTGATATCGGTTTGTGTGACATTCATGGATCTTTCCACGGGTTGACGGATGGTCAACGGTAGAAACCACTTAATATGATTTCTTGAGTTATACGATGAATATGAGTGAATTATGTGATTACATGATTGGTGCCTTGAAGGTGTTTGATAAAATACCTTGAATGATTGAAGTTGTGTTTGATAAAATAGCATGCTTGAAAAATGTGATAAAGTGAAATTACATGCTTATGATGTGATTTACAATTGTAATGTTATGTTGATGTATGCTTAACGATATGTTAGCATTATGATGATCATAAAATTTATATGTTTGGATATAATTGATCATGGCATATGTTTTAATTGTTTATATGACATTCATTACATATTGAACATGGCAGTAGTTTGCAATGAGGCATTACATTAAATATGCACAAGATAAACACATCCATAACCATGAGCATGGGTGTGGTTGCATGGTTGGACAATCATCATCCTTGGTGGTTGGTGGTGGGCTCGGAATAGGATGAAACATCCTATTGAGTCGCACGGTTGCATGAAAAACTTGGACTCGGTACTGTTGGACTAAGGTTCAACAGAGTCACAAGAAAAACATGTGTCGGATAAGGCAAGTAGGCCTAGACACTCCCTCAGGTGAAAAACCCGGTCACTGATTCATACACTCTGACGGTGAAAGTCCAAAAAGTGTATCGGTATGCGGAGCCGGCGATGCGACACCAAAAATTCGCTACCCAACAAAAACACATGGATTTGTTTTAAAATAAATTCATTTTATGGGAAACATTCAAGAATGAATTAGTTTTATAAAACATGGATTACATTTTTTAAAAGTGGTCTTTGGATGTATTCCATTCAAAGACAAATGTTTTACCACATTTGCATCGCATTGTGTGGTGGGAGTCGGTGTGGACTCGGGATTAGATGCATGAGTGAGTCTCATCTCATTTCATGGCATGATATTATCATGTTCCAACATTGAATGCATTATTCTTGTTTGGAATGAAAAAAGTGGTTATTTGTTGCATGTGCACATTTCATATGCACTTAGAATGGGGAGTAGCCTCTGTAGAAAATATTTTACTGGACGTTGGCTCACCCTATACAGGAAACATTTCGGGTGCAAGGTGCGCACCGGCAGAGGACTCTTATATGGGGCCTTAAGGGTGAAGAGGGGCCGACAATTGGCCTTTAACCATGACTGTTTTGTAAACTTTTGTTCAAACTATGTTTGACATGTAATATATGTAAAAAATTGTAACCTTGAACTTTTATTAACTATGTTAATGCATAACTTATGATGTGGGAGTATGGATAAATGGACCCGGTATGGTCAACGTGGTATGTTAGACCTTGAATGGGTCATATGATTGTATGGTATACAAGTTGTATCTTGGGTGGAGCTCTTCGTACAAAGGAGACTCCGCCCGATTTTGTTAAATTATGGATCCCGATAAATGAGACACAACGGTATAGTATCGAGTTATATGATCTCCACAGGTATTCCGCGGGTTGATGGGTGATCAACGGGACTCTCGATTTTTGGGGCGTCACAGAACATGCAGGAAGTTTCTCATTGTGTTATACTAGATGAATTACGAATACAAATTTATTTCAAAACTTGTGGCAAAATTCTGTAAGTCTGTATGAGGCATTAACTCTGTAGCTTAAAATGTTTTACACATAAAATGAGCAAAGCTGATGTAAATAAATTGTTTGAATGGAAAAAAAAAGATAAATTCACTTTTTCTAGAGGTGGAACTAGGGAGAAGATTAATTCAAACAAAACCAGGCGCAATTTGTTCAGTTTCCTTTTCGATAAATCCAAAAAAAAAAAAAACAAAATTGTTTAGGCATATATAGTAAAATCAGAAACTGACCTCTCTTGGTATGGGATATTCCTCTGATTCAAGCATACGGACAACTTGGCTCATCTTAGGTCTTTTGTCAGAATCTGGATCAACACACCTCAGAGCAGTTAAAAGGGCTCGTTTTAGTGCTCTTGTTGATGGACGGGTTTCAATGTTAGGGTCCACTACTTCCTCCGAGCGCCTGCTTCCAACCATCATTTTCAGCCAATCAACAAGATTCACCTGCAAACCATCACGAGGGTTACACTTGAAAAGACAGTGAAACTCCAGATATTGACGAATCAGTGCATATTTGAAGTCAAATAACCAGATATAAGTCAAAAACGGTGGGTGTTAGTGGAAAGCATGTAACAAATCAACCAGCTGAAAGAAAGAAAGGTTTTTTCTTTCCTTTTTCCTTAAAGACTTCATTTATTAATTTCCATAAATTAAAGATTTTAGCATAGCTACATCGGATATTATATACAAGCAACTGATACAGAGCACATAAATGTTTCAAAATTAAATACTGAAAAGGTATAAATGGATCCATGCAGAGCATATATTGATAAAAACAAAAGAGCTTGCAAGACATTTAGCTGTTTGAAATATATGTGGTGATGGAACAATTCCATAAACCTCATCAATAGAATTGATGCATAATAAATTTATAACAACATACAGGTGTTAAATACCAATAAAGGGGATATGTCCCAATCCCTAACTTGTAAATAGATTGTTGATGTGGATATCGTTTCAGAAAATTATATGATCAACAAAATTAATATAAGCCTCACTAGGAAAATAAAGAGGAAAAGACAAACAGAAAAGGAGAATATATAAAGAAAAGTGAAAATGATAAATAAGCCGATGTATATAAGCAGTTATATTACACCCTCTCTAACAACTTAATAGATGAGAGTATTTAATATGGTGTTAGCACAGCAGGTCTTGCGTTTGAATCTCCTTATCTTCCTAATGACTATAGAGCTTGCACGTGTTTAACTTAAAATCTGTCAGTTGTGAGGGAGCCTGTTAAAGTTTATAAATATTTCTATTACATCATCTCTAATAACTTACAATTTTGATGAGATAGCAGTTTAACGTGGTATTAGATCAGGTCTTGTATTCAAATCTCATCGTCAACCCAAGAATTATAAAATTTGCACGTGTTTCATCCAAAATCTGGCCCTCCGGTGAGGAGGCGTGTTAAAGTATATAAAATTTTGTTACAATCACCATCACAACTTAAGCTTTTAGTTGGGCCAAACATGTGCAAGTTTTATAATTATTAGGATGATGTTGGGATTCAAACACTAGAAATCCTGAATTGATACCATGTTAGGATTTGAGAAGAAGTATTGAGGAGGAGATCTATTTGCACAAGTGGGCTGAATACCTAACAAAATCCCCAAAATCTTATAACTCAAAAATATCTACATCTTGAAAATGTGGACATTATGCAAATACCACAAAAGAGTTGGCCAGTTATGGAAAATTGTGTAATTAGCATGGCGGGGGATGGAGTCATGACCAAAGTCATAAGACAAATGCTATCAATACATAAATCGTCATAATAACTCTATACTTGCACATAAACCCTCATTCTGTCTAAAGTACTAATGTTTGAAAGAAATCTTAAGTAACTAAGTGAGTAGGATCAATACACTAACTAATTTTAGGCTATAGAACAAAATCACTAATAAGAGTGGCGCACAAGAAAAACAATAAAACCAAATTGTTCTCAATGGATCTTAGTAATATATCCAATATCACATGCATGATTAATTATTTATTGAAGTTTTCACACTGAATCCAAATTATGATACATTTTTGTAATAATGAAAATTCAGAATCATCTTCACTGTCCGGATTTTAACAGATTCTCATATTAGCTCATGATAAATGCATACCTCTTGAGCAGGACGACCATAGTCCACTGGATCTCTTCCTGTAATTGCTTCCAAAAGCACAACCCCAAAGCTATAAACATCACTCTTTTCATTTAAAAGACCAGAATTTGCATATTCAGGAGCTACATATCTGTACCGTAGCAAAAGAAAGAGAATAAAACTCAAATATTATGTCTTTTAAATCAGCCTAACTTATACCTAGGTCTTCACAAATCCAACCCTTAAAGAAACAAGAACGAAAAGAAAAAGAATAAAGTGATAAATTAAGTAGGGTTTGGGAATATTAGAACTAATAATGAAGGTATACTAACCCAAAGGTTCCCATGACCCGAGTTGTGATGTGACTCTTCCCAGCACCAAGCAGCTTCGCCAGTCCAAAGTCAGAAACCTTGGCATTGAAGTCATGATCAATCAATATATTGCTTGATTTTATGTCTCGGTGAACAACTTTTGGCTCAATTGCTTCATGCAAGTATGCAAGACTGCAACAAATGTGCCACATGTAATGAGATCTATGAATGTTCAAAGAAAGACAAAGATGATTTAACTTACGCCTTAGCTGTGCCAAGGAGAATCTTGATCCTGGCTTCCCAAGTAAGATATCCATACTGGCGCATAGCCCCATGGAGCCATTGTTCTAAATTGCCATTGTTGACATACTCATAGACTAACATCCTGAAATGGATAAAATAAATGAGACAAGTACTGTTACAAAGGAAAAGCAAAAACTGAGCAGGAATACAGGTCTTACAAGCATAATATTACCAGCAGTTCGTTTAAGTTAAATCTCCTGCCACCCGAGATAACGAGGTTCAGGTTTGAAGTCCCACCTGGGACTTGGATGCATGTGTGAATAAAATAGGCAACAAGAAAATGAAAGAAATATTTTTTTCCTTCCAAGATTTTGTTTTCTAACATTGGAGGTGACTCTTTTTGGGTATGAATACCCATAGACAAGCAATCATGTGATAGTCTGATCAAGAATAGTACCTATGAGTTCCTTCAATGCAGTATCCCAAAAGGCGAACCAAATTTTTGTGACGCACATGGCCAATAGCATCAACCTCCACCCTAAATTCTTTCTCCGCTTGGCCTCTAAACACAAAGAATACAAATATTTAACTCTGAAATTTAGGCAACTGATGAAAAATAGTACAGTGAAAAACTAAAAAGGTAAGAAATAAATAAAGAGTTTCAAACTCACAGGTTGTTGAGGAGCTTCTTAACTGCCACTGGCGTCCCATTAACCAAATGTCCCTGATAAACAACTCCATATCCTCCCTCGCCAAGAACATTCTCCTTTGAAAATCGGTTTGTTGCAACTTCAAGATCTCGTAACGTGAACCAGTGACCCCAACCCAATTGAGAAAACTCAGGCAGGCCAATTAAAGGAGAAGGAGCCGTTATTGGATGTGAAGAAGAAGTTTTATACACAGCAAATGTGCCAGAACTCCCTTCTTCTCCTGATTGTGACCCACCACAATCTTTATCAACATGATGAAATGAACCCAATTGACTGCTGTTTTCTACATTCTTTGTTTTTCCCATTCCCAGATGGACCAGAACCTTATCTGATTCTTTATCACTGGATTTGTCATGAATTGTGAGAAGAATCCCCTCTCGTGGAGCAAATTCATTTGTTGATACTTGCTCCACACGTACTTCCTTAATTTCCTTTGAATCAACTGGAATTTGACTAAGGGGAATATTTTCTCTAGCTCTTCTCGATTTCTTCCGCGAAGTAAGATAAAACGTTAATGCAAAGAGGATAACTACAATAAATAACCCCACAATGATCCCAATCAATTCCCAAACCTTAAGGCCAAGAATGGCAGTTTTCGATAATTCAGCATTTAGACCAGTAGCCATTTCTTTCAGATGCCAAGCCGCCTATGGAACAAATTCAAGTGACATGAAGTGTTAAACTCCAGAATGCAGATAATAAATCTAACATTAACTTTGATACCGTTCCATCATTCATATAAAATTTTAAGATATTTTGCTAGCACCCCTAACATTCCTGGCCCCCCACCTACAACCCTCACAGGTGAAGAGACAAAACGTTCACATTTCCTACTAAAGCCAACAATTTTTCGTAGGAAAAACATGTAGAAACACACAATGCAATAAACAAGATCCAACAACACAGTAGGAAAGTCCATGTAGTTACTAAACAATCAAGAACACTATTTAAACAAGAGATCCACTAACCCAAGATCATTTTCTGTATCTCATTTAATTACTCTACCAGCATACACGATGAATGCATTCCGTGAAGAAATAAAAAAATTCGAAAAAAAAAACAAAGAAAATGTTGTAACGTTCTTTGAAGATTGTTGTCTCATACCTGTTTCAGAGAAGATACAGAGGAGCGACCTTCAAACCCCAGATCTCAGAAACCCCATTTCCTCAGACAATTAACCAAACATCAAACATAGATCTCTCAGACAATTATCCAAACATCAAACATAGATCTCTGATCAAACAAGCCCAAAAAGACTATATCAAAAAGACCACATTTCTAGGACACCCAAATCAACCCAGTTCCCAGAAACACCAGTTATATAGCCAGTAAGACTAATTTCGTGTCTGGTTCTTCTGTTTAGAGGCAAATGTGAGTCTGAATCTAAGCTGAGATGGTGCTTTCTCAAACCAGCCTATGTTTTCCTCTTCTTAAAGACCAAAACCCAAAAAATGAGAAGAAAACACTGCTGTGTTTGCAAAGAAAGAATAGGTACATAGAATGGTGGGAATAATGAAGAAGGAAGGATGGAGTTATCAGCGGTAGGTGATGACACAATGCCTTGCAAACAGTAAAAGGAAAGTCAGGAGTTGGAGTTGGAGTTGGAGATGGAGATGGAAGGTACTCTGTCTTTGGGATTGTTTTCCTTTTGGTTTCTTATGAAGATGACTGATTATCAGAAATTTACTCTTAGATTAATTACATACATTTTTGTATTTAAATTGTACCTTTTATTGGGTTTTTTTGTTTATTTAAATAATTTAATTTATGTATCTAACTGTACGTTTTAATAATCTTTATGTTGGTCAAACATCGGTGAAGAGGAGATATGAAAAGGTTTTAAGGATGAAGAGGTAGTAATAACAAGGTTGGTGACAAGTTTGGTGAGATTTATGAAACTGGTTCACTACAAGAATTCTTCAAACTCTTTCACGTGGTAATAGCGTAACTTCTATTGACCCATTTTCGTCACAAAATATACTTTTCAGCACTTACTTTCATTGTATATATTATCACAAAAGTATAATATCGAAGTTGAGATTAATGGAAGAACGACAACAAAGTTAGTACTGTAACATACTTAATAGATAATTACTATTGTAATTTATGTTGTTAGATCTTTAACCTTGCTGCCATGCCATGGAGAAAAAAAACAACAGATAAAAATACGATTAAGGAGAGTGACCATGGTGGGCTGGGTGAGCTCCTGCACCAATCGACCAGTTGGCTCATAACTGTCATTGGTCTAGACCAAGCTGTCCAAATTTTTATGGTCCATTTGTTTTTTGTTGTTTTGTTTTGTTTTTTTTTTTCTTTTATGGGTATGTGAAGGTTTTGAAATCTAGCTTTGTTTCTTAATAACCCACAAGATCATCTTAACAAAAACTTATTTTCATTACAACGGTATCATCAATGTTATATAGTGTTATTATTCAATAAGAATATAACAAGTGAATCTTATATATTTTAATAATTATCTCTTCATATCATCCGGTAACTATCCCAGGTAAAAAAGTGGGCACAATTTTTATTGTGTTTTTATTGAATAGTGACAACCCGTGATAACAAACTCAAATTTTGACCCAAAAACCAACTCTATTTAGTTCAACAAGGGAAAAAGAAACAAGTAATGTATGATTTGAATGGTTGATACTCTTTTGCCGACTAACCAGAATTGGAGAAGGTTGTCATTTAGTATTTATGGATGAAATTAATGATGTATAACCAATTGATTTAATTAAAAAATATATTTAAAGTACTTCTTTTCCATGGTTGTTTTTATGTGCTAACATATATATAAAGGTACTATTTGTTTTTTTTGGGAAATAAGAAAAGATTTATCCAAAATAAAAATTGAAAAAAAGAAATAAGAAAAGATTGGATTGGACCATTCATTCCAATCCAACGTAGCCCACACAGAATTTTTTTAATACAAAAAATAGATATATAGATAGATCATTTTATATATTTATTAGAGAGCATTGCATTCAACCACACACAGACATTTGTAGGAGACTCCACCTTATTTATTTCGGAATCAAAGTTAAGGTTTCACTATTAAGTTTAACCCTATCAATATGTGGTAATTATAGAAATATACAAACATTAAACGAAAAAATCCGAATTTTTACTTACGGAACCAATTCGGCGGCAAAGTTGGGTTAGAGGATCCTTCGAATGGTAGCCTTAACCAAACTGCACCAAATTAGTGATTCAATCTCTTTAAATTGTCTGATAAAAAAAAAAACTCTTGAAATTGGTGTTTGAAGGGTAAACTAGTCTTTTTTTTGCAAGTTATCTACTAGGCCTACACGTCTCCACAATGATATCCTATACCTAATAAAGTTACCCTACCTCCCGGGATTAATCCTATCCTTTGTCTCTCGAATTTGAAATAGTGATATAGGGATTTTGGGTTTATTCCAAAGCCGAATGTACTTCCTGGCTGTTTGGATGATCGTTAAGATGGGAATTGGATCAGATTTATGAAACCTTTCCGAATTCAATCCTTAGGTTTCGTTCATGGGATTGGACAATGAACTATACCTAATCTTATGTTTGGTAAGTGATATGAATACACATGAGACCTAAAAATTAATTATAATATTTACTATAAAATTATCTAAACCCACCCAAGTCCATCCACCCCATGGGTTTGCTGAATCCCTTATACATAGGTATTACTTACGGGAATATTACAGGCGGGGATTGAAATTTCAGACTTCACATCTGCAACAAAATAAAGAATAAGATGATGCATTGAACTATTTTAACAAAACTCCCTATATGAATTCCATCAAAACCCATAAACCAAACATGCCCCTAAGGGTGGGATAATTTACCCTTGGATAAAATCACTCCAATCCTACTCTTCTATACCTGAAGCAGAGTTACAGAAACACCCCTTAGAGGAGTTTTATCTCAAAAATTGGTGCATCTAAAAGTTTAAATCTATGTTTTGAATAGCATGCAATGCCTCGAGGAGTATGGGCGTGAATTTTTCTGCACCTAATATTTGTCACCAAAAAAAAAAAATTCAAATTAACGCATAGTGAGTTGAACAATAAGGATATAGTTCCTTGTAATTTAATTGAGCATATAGCATTAAGATTGAACAAAATGTCATAAAATAAATCACACAGTTGATCCCAAATTATCAGTAAAGTATTTTGTTTGAATTGATGCGATGTATTATGCTCGACTTATATTTATAATATGAAATATGACAGGTTTCAATAAATCCATTCGACAGTATCAAATAGGTTCATCCAACTGTCACCAACGTCTCTCTCAAAATCATTTATATTGAATTTTTTTCTTCCAAAATCCATCACTTCTCACTTACGTTACACCGTACCTTCAGGCATAGTTTACTCCTAGCATGGAGACATGATTTTTATTTTTATTTTTGAAATCAAGTAGCAATTTTTATTCTAGGTCTAATAACAAGGTAGCTGATCATTGAGTGGGAATGACCATATGCTCCAATTCTCTCCCAAATAATTGAATGTGCTGGATATACAGAGAGCTAACAGAGATTCTTTGTAATGATTGGAATCACTTACGTTACACCGTACTTTCAGGCACGGTTTACTCCTACTATGGAGACATGATTTATATTTTTATTTTTGAACCAATATGGAGACATGATCAAGTAGCAATTTTTATTCTAGGTCTAATAATTGGGCAGCTGATCATTGAGTGGGAATGACCATATGCTCCAATTCTCTCCCAAATAATTGAATGTGCTGGATATACAGAGAGCTAACAGAGATTCTTTGTAATGATTGGAATTTTGATGCTCCTTAATACCTAGAAAATTTAGTTCTTGATTTGAAAAATGGAGACATGAAGGATGTATATGAAGGGTGGGTTGTGTTTGGGTGGATCTTATTTAATTGCCCATCAATATCAAAAGTAAAAATAGTACTAATGAACCCTTTAGAATAATGGAAAGTTTTATGAAATATACAAAGAAAAGAAGAAGAAGAAAGAAATAAGAATAGATTAAAGATAGAAAATTTAAAGTTACTTACGAGCAGGGGCCAAAATTTTTTTTTTACGGTAGACACTTTAATTACATATTCTAATTTTGTTTTTTCCTAACCAATCACAACAAAATAATGTATTTATACTAATTATATCGTATTTGATACATGAAGTCCGTTCAACATAAAAGGACCCAAAAAAATGTATAAAAAATAAATAATTATCACCATTATAAAAAAGTGGAGTTAATTTTCATTTTAGTATTTAAAAATGTGTCAGTTATTTTTCGACCATCCATTAAATATATTCAATAAATTATCTTTTAAACATTATCACTGCGATATTAAAATAGTAAAGTCACTAAACTAAAATTTAAGAATTAAATATATTAAAAAAATTTAAAAATCGATTGATACATAATAAACACAACAATCAATAGTCAAATAAAAATATATATGAGTTATCACAGAAGTTGATTGAAGATCAATAAAAATACTTTCACTTTCAAATTAAGAAAATAACATTTAAATTCATCAATATAAATATTAAGATCATCAGTAGAAAACCTTAAGATAAATAAAAAAATACTAAATAATTGAAGTAAGAAAGGTATAAGATGGGCATAAGCAAAAATATTTGTACAAATGTCAGAATTTATAAATATAGGCATATATATAATTTATTTTTAAAAAATTGAGAGTGGGTCCGTGCCCACCCTTGTCCTTGTATAACTCCGTCCATATTTATGAAAAATTCTAACAAGGGGAGGTGGTAGAATTTCCATTAAATTTCTCGGAGTATCCTCATATCACATGTTTGAGTAGAACCCCGAAATCCATACTTGGGACCAAATAAACCGTAATGTAGGTAGGATAATATCAAACTCAAGGGGAGGTGGTGAATGTAGGCCCGACAGGATAACATTCTTCCCTATTTATTGTTTTTACTCCTTGTAAAACAATGACTCATTACAATCGTGAAAAAATCTCAGGAAATTACATTCATAAATAAAAACAGTAATAGTACACGTCCCTAACGCTCACAAACAAGACGAAGAAGACGATTCGGGCAAAAAAAACAAAAAGAAACAGAGTAGACAAATGTGTTGTCGACCCAAACTAGAGGAGGGAGGATTCCTTTGTAGATTTAGATTATACATTCAATGTGTTTAATAAAGTGGGTTGTAGTGCTATTTGACATAGGGATGGACAAGTGGGTTGGAATAGATTTCAGATAATGATATATGTTCCAAATAAAAAGTGGTTGGGAACAATCAAGACATAGTGAAGTTGACCAAAGTACCAATTATGTTAATGTTTTCCCAGTTGTAATATGTTTTTTACTTGTATTTGAACTACTGTAGTGGTTTTTTTGTCCTCTTACTTATGTGTAGCAAACCAAGTGTGTTGGTTGCACTATAACGTTTTAAGTTGTAACTGATTTACATATTGCAATACAAACTTATGGTTGGGCTCTTCTTCTTCTCTGCACTATTTTTTCTTGAATGTATATTCTAAATATACGAAGCAATTTTCTCTTTTTGCCTCTGGTTTGGGTCGACGACACCTTCGTCTTCTCTGTTTCATTTTTTTTGTTTTGCCAAAATCATCTTCTCTGTCTTGGTTGTGCGTGTTAGAAAAGTAGAGAAGACGATGATCTCTCTGTTTTGATATTTGTTGTCTGTCTCCAAGATTTTGCCATATCTCTCCTTGATTTGGG